CCTGTAAATGGAGCTGAACAGGAATTCACTGATCAATGAACATCAGTGATTAAATCACCCATTAAGTCAGCTACACTGGCTTGGGGTGGGGGTACAGGGATAGGAGAGGGTGCAAAGGCAGGCTGCCACACGAAGGTGATGGCAGGAGAAGTCACACATGTGCCAGATATTGCCAACACCCAGCCTTGGGAGGCTTTAATCCCTGTGGGAAACGGCACTGGCTGCTTTCCCTGGTTGCAGTCCAGGAGTGAACATAGGAACATGAGCCAAAGGCAAAGGCAAAGGTACCAGACATGCTGGCAGGACCTAGCTCAGACCCAATGAGCATGCAGCAAATGAAGCATCCTCAGTGCAGTGACTGAGGTCCCTGCTGCCCCTTGCAGGTCCCAGCCTCACCTGGGTGCCCCATTGTGCCTTATTCCTGGACATACTGTCCAGCACTTCCTAACCTTGAGGCGTTTGTCTCCTCGTGTCTGATCCAGAGGAGGCAAATTCACCTTTTCCACAAGGGATTCCGCCCTGGATCTGCAGAAACATGGCTCATACGTGCTGGTGGACACCCCAAGACCCCAAGCACATCACCCAGATCAGCGAAGAGAGGGGACCCCTGTGCAGTTTTCATGACCCCAAGTGGGATCACACACTGAACACATATAGATGGGAAAGCACATGAAGCCTGTTTAATGGTCTGCTATTCATTTTGGTTTAATCTTGATGTAATGATTTCAGGTTATATTGTTATATGCTGTTTAATTTAATTCAATACTATCCCATTTAATTCTCTTCCCTTCATTTTATTCAGTTTAATTGTATTTCATTAATTATGATGTAAGAATACGTTCTTCCCTTCCCTGTTCATTCTAGACTATTTAATTCTATTCTATTCCATGGTATTAATGATACTATATTGTATTATATGGTACTACATGACATTATATTGCCTAATACTATACTGCATTACGTGAAATCGTGTCCTGTCCCCAGCATTCAGGCATCAGGAGCCTCCTTTCCAAACCGCAGCAGCACAAGCCGAGCCAGTCCATGACACATTCCCCATAAGCGGGGGTCAGAGCAGCTCTTCGGCCCCGCTCTGCCCGGGGCACCGGGACCCGCTGAGTCAGGCGCTGGCCCAGGGTGGGCGGTGATGTCCTCAGCCATCCATCAGCTTTCCGAAGGGGAAAAGTCCTCGGGAACTGCGCCGCGGCGGGGGTGAGTCACCGGGGCAGGGAGCAGGGAGCGAAGAGGGCTTAAACCACGAGGAACCCCGCTCCTTTGTCCCTTCCCGTGGCCGCACCGACCCGGGAACCCCTTGTCAGCAGCAAGCGCCGTGAGCTCAGAGCGCGCTGCCATGGGGAGGCTGCATTCCTGCCTGGCAGCTGAGGCGCAGTTCCCGTCCGGCAGCCTTGACAAGCGCATTTTCATCCGGTTCTGTGATAACAAAAACAACAGAAATCTGTGGCGGGTGTTTGCTTTTTTTCTTTTCCACCCGTTACGTCCTGGCTTCTGCTGCTCTTTGCTTTGACACCCCCCCCCCCCCCCTCGTGTTTTTGCTGGTTGGGTTCTGAAGCAGATGATGAAGAAGGAGGAGGACAAAAAAAAAGAAGGGAAAGGAAAAGAAAAAGACGAAAAAGGAAAATAAAAATTAAAAGAAGGAAATTTAAAGAAAAATGAAAATGAAAAGAGGAAAGAAAAAGAGAACAAATTAAAAATAAAATATAATAAAATAAAGAAAAAAAGAGAAAAATAAAGAGAAAAGGAAAAAGAAAAAGAGAAAAATAAAGAGAAAAGGGAAGAGGAAAAAGAAAAAAGGGAAAAAAAAAGAAGAAAAAGGAAAATAAAAATTAAAAGAAGGAAATTGAAAGAAAAATGAAAATAAAAAGAGAACAAATTAAAAATAAAATAAAATAAATAAAATAAAAGAGAAAAGGAAAAAGAAAAAGAGAAAAATAAAGAGAAAAGGAAAAAACAAAAATAAAAAGAGAAAGAAAAAGGAAAAGAAAAAGACAAGAAAGAACGAGCAAAGAATAGAGGATGAAGAAGGGGGAAAGGAGAAGGAAATGAAAAGGAAAATCAAAAGGGAAAAAGGCCACCCGAAGTGAAATCCGTGCGATAAAAACTGGGGACACAGCAGGTTTCACTGGAGCCGAGCGAGGTCGGCATTGCCGGGCCCTCCAGGAATTCCTTATTTACACCCTTGCTGGCCGGGAAGAGCAACCGAGCTCTTTTTGGGGTTGTTTGGTGCAGGCGGTGGCTGGTTCTGGCCAGGGGGACCTGTCCCTGCGCCCACTTGTCCCTCCTCGCCACGGTCAGACCTGCAGGACGCTGTGAGCCAGGGAGAACGCTGCTGTTGGGTTGAGATCAGGGGGTGAAAGGGGAGATCGGAGGCTGGCAATCGCTCCTCCTGCAGTCCGAGTGGAAAACAGCATTCCCGTGACATTCCCCTTCCTGGAGAGACGTGGAGGAAGGAGCAAAAGAGGCCAAAGAAAGCAGAGGAGTCAGAGCGCATGAGCTCTGCTGCTCCTGCTTCCATCGGGATAGCTTTGGAGCTACCAAACAGCACAGCTGGTTTGGTGATTAATTATTAGCATTATTATTACTATTGCTATTCTTATGCTACTATTACCATTACTATTACTATTAATTACAGGGCTTGGAGCAAGCTGCTCTACTGGAAGGTGTCCCTGCCCATGGCTGGGGATAGGAACTGGATGAGCTTTAAGGTCCCTTCTGACCCAAACCAGGCTGTGATTCTTTATGATTATTATTTTATGGCTATTATTGCCATTATTACTAGTATTATTACTATTATTAGGGGTTATTAGTACTCTTTTCCCTTTCTTTCCTTTTCCTCACAGCCTTTCATGAGCTACCATGACCCGCCCAGGGCTGGAAGAGGACAAGCCAAAACCTAAGAGTTAAATAAAGGAACCTCCTTGCAGTGAGTGAAATAAGGAAACGGGAATCTGTGGCTCCCGAGGGCTAATTGCAGTGCCTGTGTTGGTGAAACACCACTCTCAGAGCTGGCAAAATAAGCAGGTCAAATGTCCTTTCCTGTAAGCTTTGGATGTTTGTGTTTCATCTGGAGTTTGCTTGTGGCTATGCTCTAACTGCAGAGCTGAACACATGGGAAAGGGTCCGGCTTGTTGAGCAAGAAGAGGAGCCAAACCCCAGGGGGTCAGGCCCCCATGGTCAACCCGTAGCCCTGATCCTGGCTGCCTCGGAGGGGATTAGAGTGACTGACGTGGAATTGGGACATTGGAGCTTGCACAGAGGGGATGAGCTGCAGTGGCTGGAAGGGGGCAGCAGCCACTGTGCTGGCACTGGTGGATGTCCCAGTTGGGGTGGCTTGTGGGGCTGCAGTTGGTGCTGCTCCATCACTGCGGCCTGGCAGCTTTATTGACTCATCTCACAGAACCCCAGACTGGTTTGTGTTGGAAGAGACCTTAAAGCTCATCCAGTTCCAACCCCCTGCCACAGGCAGGGACATCTACTAGAGCAGGCTGCTCCAAGCCCCATCCCAGCTTCAGAGCTTCAGGTTGGTGCTCACTGCAGTAAAGCCGATGCTGTACCTGTAAGCTAAAATGCTGAGCTGTAAATTGGGACTGCTCTGTTGAGAGCAAAATGGGCTGGTGTGGCCCTGGGGCATGAGTAAAACAAGGGCAGCCTGTGAAGATACAGGAATGAGGAAAACAGACAGGGCTGGGGCTGGTTCTTCGAGATGAGGAACAAATCAGAGCTAACCTAAACCACACACACACTTGTTAAGTAATTCCCAAGAGACTTTTCACAGGCACAAGCACAGAGATCAAGCAGTGAAAGATGATGGAGGACAGAGACAGCTGGAGACCACCACTCGGCATGAAAAGTGCATGTGTCATTAAAATGCAAATATTACAGTGAGTTCTAGGAAATCTAATTAAAGCATTTCCTGGGAAGGCTGTACATATAGAATCATAGAATCGTTAGGGTTGGAAAGGACCTTAAGATCATCCAGTTCCAACCATGGGCAGGGACACCTCACACTAAACCAGCTCACCCAAGGCTCTGTCCAACCTGGCCTTGAACACCACCAGGGATGGAGCATTCACAACCTCCCTGGGCAACCCATTCCAGTGCCTCACCACCCTCACAGGAAAGAATTTCCTCCTTAGATCCAATCTAAACTTCCCCTGTTTCAGTTGAACCCGTTACCCCTTGTCCTATCACTACAGTCCCTAATGAAGAGTCCCTCCCCAGCATCCTTGTAGCCCCCTTCAGACACTGGAAGCTGCTCTGAGGTCTCCACACAGCTTCTCTTCTCCAGGCTGAACAGCCCCAACTTTCTCAGCCTGTCTCCACACAGGAGCTGCTCCAGCCCCTGAGCATCCTCGTGGCCTCCTCTGGACTTGTTCCAACAGTTCCATGTCCTCCTTATGTTGAGGACACCAGAACTGCACACCATACCCCATATGCATAAGTCTGTTGGGTACATGGATGCCTGTAGACTTCAGGCACGCTCCCCTTTGTGAAATGACTGGCGTGTGCGCCCAGCGCTGCTTTCTAAAGCCCCACATCCAGCCTGAGAGTTGCTTCGACCGACTCAGGCGGTAACACACCGAGACCAGCTCCCTCCTAAGCAGGGCCAGGGACCCGCGGGGCGCCCTACAGCAGGTGCCCTCCCTCCAGCGCTGGTTTCGCCCTTGCTCAAGGCGATCGAGAGCTTTTCCCGGCCCCGCTCAGCCCGCATGGACGGGGCGGGGGGGGACCCGGCAGCTCCCTCCCTTCGGGCGGGACCTCGGTGGGAGGAGCCGGCCCAAGGAGCGGGGGGGGGGCACGGGACACCCCCCACCCCCCACACCCCCCACACCCCCCCCCCCCCTCTGGAGGGGGCCGGGATTCACGGGGCCGCCCCCACCGCAATCTCTCCGCTCCACGACGGCGGCGGCCGCGGCCCGTCCCCGGAGGCGCTTCCTTCCTGCGGCGGGCGGCGGGGAGGGCCGGGGCCGCTATAAATCGGGGCGGGCGGGCGGCGGCATGCCAGAGATTTGCCGTGCCGGCCGGCCCCTCCGCCGCCCGCCATGCGGCGGCTCCCGCTGCCGCTGCCGCTGCTGCTGGCCGGCTTGGGGCTGGGGCTGGGGGGGGACCCGGAGCCCGGAGGCCCCTCGGGAGCGCAGTGCCTGGAGCACGATTGCTTCGGGGTGTTCTGGTCGGCGCTGCCGTTCGCGGAGGCCGGCGCGGAGTGCCAGCGGGGCGGCGGGCACCTCATGACCGTCCGGTCCACCGTGGCGGAGGACGCGATCGCTTTGCTGCTGCAGAACCGGAGCGGGAATCTGTGGCTGGGGCTGCGCCTCGGGCTGCCCTGCACCGAACCGACCCAGCGCCTCCGCGGCTTCCAGTGGGTGACCGGCGACCGCAGCACCGATTACTCCAACTGGGCGCCGTCGGGGCGGCAGTGCGGGGAGTTCTGCGTGACCGTGTCCAAGGAGCTGCGCTGGGAGGAGCGGCCCTGCGAGGCTCCGGCCGACGGCTTCCTCTGCGAGTACAACTACTGGAGGAGCTGCCCGCGGCTGCCGCCCGCCGACGGGCTCCCCGTCGCGTACGCTACCCCGTTCGGGGCCAGCGGCGGCGACTTCCTGGCTCTGCCGCCCGGCAGCGCGGCCGTCATCGCGGCCTTGGGGCTGGAGCTGCACTGCGAGGAGGACGGGGAGAGCGGGAGGCTGCGCTGGGGCCGCCCGGAGCTGGGGCCCTGGTCCTGCCGCTTGGACAACGGGGGCTGCGACGGGGCGTGCGAGGAGGACAGCGGGCAGGCGCGGTGCTCCTGCCCCGAGGGCAAGGTGCTGAGCAGCAACGAGCGCGGGTGCCGCTCGCCCTGCGCCGGAGCCCCCTGCCAGCACCACTGCGTGGTGGCCGGCTCCGACTTCGTCTGCATGTGCGAGGCCGGGTACCGCTTGGCCGCCGACGGCAGCAGCTGCGAGGACGACGACGATTGCGCCATGGTGCCCAGCGTGTGCGAGCAGGTCTGTGTCAACACCGAGGGCGGCTTCGAGTGCCACTGCCACCGCGGGTACGCGATGGTGGACGGGCACTGCCAGGCGCTGCCCATGTCCCGCTGCTACAAAGCGCCCTGCGAGCAGCAGTGCGAGGAGGTGCCCGACGGATACCGCTGCAGCTGCTTCCCCGGCTACGCCGTTGACCCCCGGGTGCCCACCCACTGCGTCCTGCACTGCAACCACAGCCAGTGCCCGGCCAAGTGCGACCCTTACACCCTGTCCTGTGAGTGCCCCGAGGGCTTCGTGCTGGACAACGCCGACGACAGGCAGGTCTGCATGGACATCGATGAGTGCGACATGAACTTCTGCCAGCACAACTGCACCAACTACCTCGGCGGCTTCGAGTGCCACTGCCCCGCCGGCTACCGGCTCGTGGACCAGATTGACTGCGTCGAGATCCTGGGGGAGGATGGGGAAGGAGCCTACTCAGGGGATTTCGGGCCCGGACCCCAGCTGCCCGTCCCCACCCGGACCCCACTGAATGCAGTGCACCTTCACCCCGGTGCCCTGGTGGGTATCACTTTGGGTGTCCTCTCCGCAGTGCTGGCTCTGCTGGCCCTGGCCTACCATCTGGTGAGGAGGTGCTGCAGGGCCCCCGCCACCATGGATTACAAGTGCAATTGTCCCCACGAAAAGGAGATGGGATTGTACCCGGTCCCCTCGGGGTGTGCAGCAGCCAGCCAGAAGCTGTAGGGAGCCCTGGCAGGACAGGCAGAGGGAGGTGGACGGAACTGGGTAACATTCACTCTCCTCATCCCCTGCAGCCTTTGAATGATAAAAAGAGTTTGGGAAACCCCCCCCCCCCAATATTCACCCCAGAGAGCAGGGAAGGTGGAGGGGCCGGAGCGCTGCTCGGTTCCTCGCCCTTTGTGGGCAGTGTGGGTGTTCAGCTTTCCTTTCCCTTTTCCAGGAGTCGGGGGGGGGGGGGGTTCAAGGGGAACCCTCGTGTGTTACAGGAGGGATGTCTCCTTCTGGAGGTGACTTGTAAATCCGTATCTATCACGGGATGAGAGCCGCGCTGGCTGAGTTGCTGCTGCCCAGGGAAGGTCACTTGGCCCCAAACCCCTCTCCCTTCACTGGGAAGCTGGGATGGAATGGATGGCATTCCCAGAGTGGCAAAGAGATGGGATGCCCCTGCCCTTGTGTTCACGTTAGTGGGTTTAAACTGACGGGTGGTGGCAGAAGGAGCAAAACCCTTGTGCTCAGCACCTTGAAACACGCCCAGCTCTTGCCTCCTGGCCCCCTCTTGCCTCTCGCCTCTGGCAGCTGAGCACTTTCCACCTTAAATCACTACCAACAGCAGGGGCCCTGCTGCTGTCACAGTCAGGGCTAAACCACTTGATTTTGCTTCCCTTTTACCATTTTGGGGCTGTTTTGGTTAAATGTGGACACTGAGACTGCCAGGGTCATGTTTTCCATGGCAGGAACGGTCGTTCCCAGCCTCGTGTTCCCCATCCCGTTTCTTCCATGATTTTCTGCCCTTGTTGCCTTAAAACGCTGTGGTTTTCTTTACAAACCCACTGCACCGACCCCTCCTGCCCACAGGGTTTTGTCCTTTGGGCTTGCCCAGGGCTAAGTCTAATCCATGTTGAAGCCTATGGCAAAACTTTCCGGGGCAGGGGGGGGCACGATCCACCCCGCTGCGCGCTTCCCACCCGAGGATCATCGGGAAAAGCATTTGGGTGTTTTTTCCAGCCCCATCGTTCCATGGGGAGTCCCGGGGCAAAGCCTGAGTGGTGTTGGGAGCCAGAGCGGCTGCGGGGTGAGTGGTGGGAGCGGGTGCTGACAGCTTTATGCCCATGAGATATCACCCTGCAGCAGGGCTTGGCTTTCCCACAGGAAGCTTTGGAAGGCCGGGGTCAGCGCTCGCGAGGACTGGATGCTGCAGAGGGGCTGAAGGGCTCGGGAGGGGGGTCCTGTCTCTCCCTATGTGCTAAACACAACAAGCAGCATTCCCCCTCCTCCCCGTTCCCGTATGATAGAGCTCTTCTGCAGCCTCCAAGGGAAATAAAAGACACCCGTTGTATAAATCAAAGCTTTCCTAATGTAAATGGTCCAAGCCCCTGTTTTATACACCCGGCACGTTTGTAAATACTTATTTATTGGAAACATACCCTCTGCAATGCACATCCCATGTGTAGACAAATAAAGCTGGTTTACAGAAAGCTGCTGCTGAGATATTCTTTCTCCCCTTCCCTAAAATGACTCTTTATTCCCCCCCCCCCACCTCACCCCATCACTAAGCACTGGTCTGTCTTAACCTGTCACAAGCCTGGTTGGAGTTGGGAAGAAAGGAGCTGTGGGCTCTTAGCTGTAAACAAGCCCTGCCAGTTATTCCATCGGCGTGATTCAAACAGCAGGGATGAGCCATAAATAATGGAGAACGGGAATAACATTAACAGGAGATAGTTAAAACCAAACAAGCTGGAAATGGGGAATTTAATGGTGCCCCAGGGCTGATGTTTCTCTGGGGGTGTGTTTCAGGTGTCACTGGAGGTGATGCTGAGAGGGTGGGATTCGCTTTTCCTGGCTTTTTCATGGGGAAAATCCACCCATTTGTGCTAAAATCCCTTTGCCTGGGAACTGGGGGGGGGGGAGTGCAGATTGTTGGTGGGACCTAAGTTCTTCCCTTTCCCCGTTAGCTGAAGGGAGGTTTGATGCTCCCTAGTTCCTGCCAAGGCTGGTTTGCTCAGAACCCCCTTTTTCTACATAGAAGGAACCCAATGGGGTCACATCCATCCTGTGCTCCCAACAGTGATGGAGAAGCCCAGCCTGGTCCTACCCCTTCACTCGTCTATAGCCAGGGGGCTGGTGGGCTTCCCTCCATCCTTCAGAGCGTGTTTTGGGAAGGAGCAGAGAGTTGGGGGTGCGTTGTTCTGTATTATCACGGAGAGCCATTGCCCTGTGGCTGGTCACTGCTCACAACTGCATTTTGAGATCCCCGCCACGCGCCATCCCCATGGAGCCTCCTCCATGCCGAAGGTAACCGCAACGCTCACGCAGCTGATGCGACGAACCGCACCCCAGGCCAGTCTTATGGCTTTTATTTGGTTGCACGGCACAGCACGAGGGTCCACGGCAGTTTATCCCCTCTCCATCCCCGTTTCCCGCGCCCGGACGACACCCACAAGGCCTGGGGGCCACCCTAGAAGGTGGTGGTCTTGGCGAGGAGCGGCGCGGGCTTGCAGCAGGGCTCGGGGAGCCCGGGGTCCTGCTGGCAGGACAGGGCTGGGCACACGCAGCCCTTGCCCTTGTCGTCCCCCCGGGGGGCAGCGCAGTAGTCGAGGGGCTCTTCCTCCTCCTCCTCCTCCTCGGTGGCCCCCTCGCCAGCGTGGCAGCAGCAGAGGCTGGCGTCGAGGCAGCGCCGCAGCACGCCGTGGAAGGAATGCCGGAAGTTCTCGGAGAGGAAGCCGTAAAGGATGGGGTTGGCGCAGCTATTGGAGTAGCTGAGGATGAGGGAGGCGTTGTTGACGGTGGCATCCAAGCGGCCGGGCAGCAGGAGGTTGACGAGCTGCACCACGTAGAAGGGCATCCAGCACACCACGAACATGGCCACCACCATCAGCACCAGGCGCGTCAGCTTGCCCTCGGAGCGCCGGCGCTGCTGCCAGCCCACCCGCTGCGCCACGGCGCGCATCTTGCCCACGATCAGCAGGTAGCACAGCCCCATGGCCAGCACCGGCAGCAGGAACCCCAGCAGGGTGGTGTAGACCACGAAAGCGGCCGACCAAGCCGGGCTCGGCCAGAGGAGGTTGCAGGCCACCGCTTGGCCATCGCGGGTGGTTGCGGTGCCGGCGAAGATGGGGATGGGCGAAGCCACCAGCAAGGAGAGGAGCCACACGCCGCCGTTGACCATCTTGGCCACCCGAGGACGGCGGTAGGTGGCCGCCCGCAGCGGGTGCACCACCGCTATGTAGCGGTCCAGGCTGAGGACGGTCAAGCAGAAGACGCTGGTGAACATGTTGAGCCCATCGACGCCCAGCACGGTGCGGCACAGGGCCCGGCCGAAGGGCCAGTGGTGCAGGGCAGCCGACGTGGCCACGAAGGGGATGCTGAGCATGAAGAGTTCGTCGGCGATGGCCAAGTTGAGCAGGTAGATGTTGGTGGCCGTCTTCATCTTGGCGTAGCGCAGGATGACGAAGATCACCAGGGAGTTGCCCAGCAGCCCCAGCAGGCACACCAGGGCGTAGATGCACTGGATCACCACCATGCCCACGATCTCGCCCGCCTTGCTGCCCCACTCTGCCTGCCCCTGCTGCCAGCCAGCCTCCCCCATGGCCATGCTGGTGTTGGGGGGCACCTCGGAGGAGGCCCAGCTGGATACGGTCCACAGGGACACGCTGGATGCCTGGGACACTGCCGGGAGCTGCTCGGTGTCCGCACTCATGATGGGAGGTGGTCCATGGACGGGACACTGCCGGGGATGGGGGGGGTCAGCCTGCAGGCAGGGCATGGGCACAGAGAGTTGGGGGTGAGAGCTGTGGCACACTGGATGCGAAGCACGCTCCCCTGCCTTCCCTCTTGGATCATAGAATCATGGAGTGGTTTGTGTTGAAGGGACCTTAAAGCTCCCCCAGCTCCAACCCCTGCCACGGGCAGGGACCCCTTCCACTAGAGCAGCTTGCTCCAAGCCCCTGTGTCCAACCTGGCCTTGAACACTGACAGGGATGGGGTGGCCCCCACCAGTGCTGCCACCACCAACTCTCACTGCCACATGCATTGGGCAGCTCCGGCTGTGCCTCCCCCCAGCTCCCTCCATCGCACCCATGCACTCCTCAGGGCAGCAGCATCCTTCTCCAGGCCTGAGCATCCCAGCTTTTGGGGGTCTTGTTGGGCATGGGGGGGGGGGGGGTGCCTTCACCATGCGTGGGGGCCTGCCAGTGACAACCCTGGCCTGGGAATCAGTGCCACCATCCCAATGAAGCCCTGCACATCTCAATGGTGTCATGAACCCCTGCGGGGGGAGCAAAGGGAAGGAGAAACCGAGCGGGGGGGATACGTTACCTCTCAATCCTCCAGGGACCGAAGGAGCCTCCTGCTTTGCTCCGGGGAGGGGGGGGCAGGCGCTGGGATCTGCTCCGGTGGGATGCAGGGGCTGTTGGCAATGCAAAGTCCTGCTTGACCTGAATCAGATGACCAGAAGGATCCGGACCTTTTAAAGTGAAGGACAGACCGTGCGTGCCGGGTGGGAATAAAGCTCATCCCCACCACCCGTTCCAGGGAAATCAGCTTGTCCATCGGGAATGCGCCAGCAGAAAGCAGCCAGGATTCTGGTTCAGGCTCTCCCGGGGGAAACGAAGCACCGGACGTCCCCTTGCTCTGCCTCTCCGAGGGGTGCGAGGTCCCGCTGCTCCCCCCCCGAGGGGACACGCCATCCCCCGGGGCCCCGGCGCTGCGGGCGCTGCGGCGCGCGGGATGCTGCAGCCCGGGCGCGGCGGTGATGGGCGGGAGGGAGGGATGGAGGGAAGGGTGCAGGGAGGGAGGGAGGGGGGGACGGGACGGGGCCTCCGCATCCCCCCGCACCCCAGGTCCCTCCGGGGTGTCCCCGCCCGGGCAAGGCAGGAGATGGAGGCAGGTTGCCCTGGAAACCGCCCCCCCCCGCTTCATCCGCGCTCGATCCCGCATCCCTCCCCCTGCCCCGACATTCCTCACTGCAGGGAGGGGGTGCAGGCAGGGACCCCCCCTTTCTGCAGGAGGGGAGCATCCCGCAGCACCCGGCATCCAAACCCGGGGACCAGAGGGTGAGGGGGGTGAGGACCAGCCCAAGCCTGGCCCCAAAACCTGTTA